ATCAGTGCATAATCAGTGCACTAAATGAAGAGGGTGGGACTTTGAGGATATATACTCCCAGGTCCAGCAGTTGTGACTTCCATCACTATTTCTACTGACAGATCAAAATGTCCTGACTTAAAAATTGTTTTAGAAGGTTCTCCCTGGTGGCGCAAGGGGTTAAGACACAACCTATGAAGCTATCCGCAGCCACTGCAGCACAAGTTTGATCCCTGGCCTGGGAGCTGCCCACATGGCACGCAGCAGACCTCTCCTGACTTGCCTGCTGCTCCTTTCAGTAGTGTATTTCAGTCAGTCTGCCTGTTCTGTCCCCTACTCAGTCTCTGGTGAATCCTCTCACCCCCTCCCCCACCTCTGTCCTGTACCCTGGTTCTTGTATGCATAAATAAATAAATCTTTTTAAAAAATTGTTTTAGAAAATTAGCATAATTTCACTCACTCTTTTCCTGCCTTCTCCAGGCTCCTTGGTTAGAGCCTGCAGCTATAAATTACTGCAAAAACATTGGATTTTAGTTTGTAGAAAACTGTTGGTTTAATTAGAAGGTTGTAGTGAACCTTTGAAATGATTAGTTTAGAGAATGATGCTGGACTTTGTATTTGCATAGACTTTTCCCATGGCATTTATAAGCTACTAAGTGGATTTAATTTATCATTTCAGAACTGAGGAAGCGAAACGCTCCTACCTCTCTCTTACATATGATGAAAGATCAGGACCCAAAGGACAGAAAGAGGGCTGAGTGAAGGTGTGTGGCTGGCAGTCATTAGCATTTCTTATGTGCCAGATGCTTCCTCAACCAGCCAGTGAGCACATTTGATCTTTCTTTTGAGAAGATGTAACGTATTAATCTGACCTCTCTGCTAATTTTAAGTGCAAAGCAGGAAACGAGGCAGTGGGTCCCCATGAGAAGCCCCCACACATGGCAGAGAAGACAGAGCTCCCAGGACCTGCCCTTTGAGGCAGGTAGTGAGTCGCTTTGCTCATGATTGTGCTGTGGCATTTGTCATGTTATATGGGAAATCACATATTTAGTCATGTCTCTTACTTCCTGGACTCTGACCCTCATAAAGTCATGCAGACTCAAGTCTTACTCATGTGACGTGTATTCACGAATTTCTTAAATGTTTTGTACGAAGTTCAAGACGTGATATACAGGGAAGAAATACTTGGCTTAATTTAGGACAGTGATGCTGAATTAGGACAGTGATGCCGAATAGATTCTTTTGTTTGCATTTCTGCTTGTTTTAACTCCCCAAAGTGAGAGAACATTTCTTCCAAGGGACAAAACACTTATTTTTGTGGATTCAAAATGTTTTGATGTTGAATGACAGGAAAAAATGCTAGAATTTTAAATACAAGGCTTTTCAAAAATTCCTTTGCTATTTATTACTAGTTGGCAGAAAAAGTGTAGATGTAAAATAAAATGAATCTTTATTCTAAATATTGTTTCAGGAATTCTTAAGTCCTTGTGAATAAAACAACACTTGCAATTTTTATAATCCTGAAAATCCTTAAATCCTTAGAAAGTTGACTCATGCTTAATTAAACAAGGACTTTATTTACAGAAATGAATAATTCTTATTCTCACAGGATATCATTTTCTGGCTGTTTAGAAAACAATATTCAGTTCTTTTTGCAGAAATTTCATACTATACTGTATGTTTGTTAGTATGTGAATTCTGAAACTTGTTTTGGTTGTGAAATAAGTGCCAATTTACTTTAAAATTGAACTTGCTAAAAGCTCAAATAGGTCAACAGAAGAGCAGTTTAATAAACTTTGATGTCTAAAAAAAGCTTATTTCTTGAATGTTGATGATGTCATTTTAATTATTTAACACTTTTCCTAATGTAAAAGCGAGTAAAACCACGTACCAAATCCTTATGGTATTCCAGTAAAATATTCAGATTCTTGTTTTTGTTTTACTTAATTTTGATTTATATTATCTGCTTATCTGCAGTCGGAAATGACATATCTCGTACTGCTGTGACTAAAGAAAGATTTGTGTTAAAGGTCCCTAGATCATATCTGTGGGAATAAACAGCACTGGCCTCAGCATATTTGCCCTAAGAGGGTCTGCGTAATTGCAGTAAATATTACGACTGTAAGCATATGTTTTTATAGACTAAGTTTTCACCTTAAGAAACTTTTCAGCTAAGTTGGCTTATTTGGGGTGGGGGAGAATGCTATTCCCTCCCCCCCCTTTTATTTTTGCATATCTCTGTAAGCTGTCAGCTTTAGTGGATTTGTCTCCATCCTTATTCTCAAATCACCTCCTCTCCTTGACAGAGTGCCACTTCCCTTGGCATCTCTGACGGCTTCCTTCTCTCTTCATGGAATGTTTCTTTCTGGTCTAGTAAGCCACTCTGGGTTCACTGTCTCAATTTCTCCTACTTAACCTCTCCTCCCCAACATTGCACACAAATGCTGTAAATATCCTAAAAACGCAACCAGAGGTCTTGGTACTTTATGCAAAGAGAGGGTGCTCATCACTAAATGGTCTCCTGAAAAATCCTCTTTATTCTTGGCCCTCCCTGGTGGCCTAGGGGTTAAATCTCAGTGCACCCACACATGGCGCAGCAGACCTTTCCTGTTTCCCCTGCTGCTCCCCTCAGCAGTGTCTTTCAGTAGATCTGCTTCTTCTGCTCCCCACTCTGTCTCTGGTGAATCCTCCCCGCTCCCTGCACCTCTGGCCTACACCCCAGTTCTTCTATGCATTAATAAGTACATCTTTAAAAAAAAAAAGGACATCAGATTTTTAACTGTTTGCAATATACTGTTGAAACTGTGTTTGGTACTGTGCCTTCAAATATTGTGATATTGTCTTATTTTTTCTAGTCAGGATTCCAGTAATTTCCACACCCCCCCCTTTTAATCCCAGTTATCTCCTTTATACCCACACTATACTCAGATCATCAGAGCAAGAAGAGAGAGGCACTGGTCTTTGACGAAGGCTTGTCTTGTAGTGATTCTGACTGAAGTTACAGGAGAGATAGGTGGTTGGAAAATAGCTACAGCTCAACCATAACCAAGATATGTGTGCTTTTCAGCTTCTTCTGACCCTGAAAGAACAACCAACTTCTCCACTTTCTTGTGTTTATGGTGTTTGTTTGAGTCAGCGTAAATTCATGTGACTTTACACATTTTTTCTTCCCTTTTGATGATTCATAATGAAAGACACAATGACTTCAAGTTCAGCTGAAGACCTAACATGTAGGTACATCAAATATTTTAAAAAGCCCCAAAAGGCCCAATAGGCCTAGAATTTTCTGTTCAGAGAGTAGTATGGGGTTAATAGTAGTGAGGACTCATGTGATTCTGGTTAAATCATTTAACATACTTGCTCAGAAAAGCACAATGTTCTTGTATGAATCGAGGGTTTTTTTTTTTTCCTTTTGAGAAAATCATTTTTTACCTCACAGAAAAGATTTTTATCTGAAAAATCTTAAAAGCTTTTTTTTTAAGAGAAACTAGTTATTTTTGCTAAGTCCTGTAGTAGTTGGTGAAAGTGTGAATGAAATAGACTTCTTGCCTCCCGCTTCTCTCTGCAATATATTTTATATTGATCAACAATTTAGGCCTCCACATGTTAGATAATTATTTGGCATCAGTGGGTGAGCTACAGCATAAGTAAATACTCAGTGCAAATGGTTGGCGTGTGTTGGAATTGTAGTTTATTTAGTATCATTTAGATCTGATGCTTCAGGGATCTATTGTCTAGGCCCTATAAAGTACCTTGAAAGGATGTATCATAATCTTCACGGTAGAGATTTTGTCTTTTTAAGGTGGACTTGGTATGAAGTCACAGAGAAAACAGTCTTTGTGTCTTTGGGGATTATGTCATGAACACAGATTCTAGTCTTGCCTTTAAAATCGACTAAAACCACCTCCCTTTACTCTATGTGTTGAGTTTTGACCTGAATTGAAAAGGTTTTTTAGGTTTTTGTTCTCTGTAATGTTGTAAAAAAGACATTGGACTCTTGGGTATTGGGCCTTCAATTGAATTTTCTTTACATTTTAGAAAAGGAAAAAATGGCTTTAACTGTTAGGTCATGATAAAAACTAGGCCCTTCTTTTTGAAGATTGAGCTCATGCCCGCCCCGTCAACACTGTGGCTGCATGTTGTCCAGGGATGGCGCAGGTGCCTGCTGGCCACTGGCTGTGGGTTCACGGTCGTGTCTACTGCTCCTCTGAAGGGGCTTGACGGAGACTCTAATGAGAGGCTGTAGCAGTAGGGAGGACGCCATAGACCCTGTGTTCATTCTCTCAATCGTGACTTTACGCTGACCCCAGAGACACAGAGTCCCCTGAGGGAGCAACCCCCAGTGTGTGGCTGTGATAATGAATGTGCCCCGGGCACTTGCTCCTTGATGAACACCTCCTGGCTCTAGTCAGTGCTGTCCAACTCTTGGGGAATACAGGCTGGCGCAGTAAGTTGGCTGTTCATGGAAGAGAACTGATGTTATGATTTGAAGAAATATTTTAGAATTTCTATCTCTTCATCCTCATCCCATCATCTGCTATAGAAACCTTTCCAAGATGCGCTGCCATGCTGAAATGTACAATAACTGCTTAATGTTTTGGAGGGAATCACATTGGACACAGATCTCTTTGGCAGATGACGGTTTCTCCAGGAAGGACCTTTGGCTTTGGAGGGGACCAATGTGGGTTTGCAGCCAAGGTCGGCCATGTTAGGCTGTATGTCCTAAGAGAATGCAGGGGGGTGTGAGTACGAGAACCCCTAGCATAGTCCCTGGGGTGTTAGAGGTGCCTAAAATACTCTGTTCCCCTTTTAGTATCTGTGAGTTGTGCATTTCCCTCCCGTAGAAAGACATCTATTGTCTGAGGTCCCTGTGGGCTCCTCCTTCAGCACATTGGATGAACTGCGCAGTGGAGGGAACCGGGGCAGCATGGTGTTTCCCCACAGGTATTCCTGCCCTGTGTGTGCCAGCTGTTGTAGCATCTCCTGCCTGTTCCAAATAACACGCCTTCCTTTCTCGGCAGGTGCCTGAGATCATCAGCTCCATCCGGCAGGCCGGGAAGATTGCCCGCCAGGAGGAGCTCCACTGCCCCTCGGAGTTTGATGACACGTTTGCCAAGAAGTTTGAGGTGCTCTTCTGTGGCCGTGTGACGGTGGCTCACAAGAAGGCCCCGCCAGCCTTGATTGACGAGTGCATCGAGAAGTTCAATCACATCAGCTGCAGCAGGAAGGCCGAATTCGACTTGGGCTCCCAGAATTCGGAAACCACAAACCCCGTGGGAGGGTTTTCCTTCACGGATAAGTTCCGATCTGTGCTCCAGCCCGTGGGGAATGGGGAGCAGAGCCAGAGGCCTATGCGCAAATCCTTCTCCCAGCCCGGCCTGCGCTCCTTGGGCTTTAAGAAGGAATTTCAAGATGGAAGCCTTCGGAGTAGTAGTTTTTTTAGCTCTTTTGAGGAAAATGACATCGAGAACCACCTACTTAGTGGACACAATATTGTGCAGCCAACTGATATTGAGGAAAATCGAACTATGCTCTTCACGGTAAAATATTATCAACCTTCCTGCTTATCCCCAGTCTGAGACACAAAAGAAATCTGCTTTATTGAGGAAAGTGGCTTCGGAAATTGCTTATGGATTTATGTGTGAAGCCATATATTTTTTTTTATACTGAGTAAATATTTTCTTAGCATAAAATTCCTTCTGTAGTCCTAAATCTTCAAATTCACCAGGGAGGAAAGAAATAGAATCCATCTTATATCCTTGTATAATTTTTATCTCCCCCCATTGGTTGGTTTTTATCTCCCCCCATTCCTTTTCAATATGGAAGGAACAGTGAGTGTATGTAAAAGTGGCCATAAAAGTACTTTTAAAAATATATATTAATCTAAAGTAATATGTTCCAACAAAATTCTTTTAGAAAATTCTGCCTCTTTTCTATTTTTATTAATCTTTATAATGTAAATTTTTAAAAAAGATTTATTTATTCATGCATACAAGAACCGGGGTACAGGCTAGATATGTGGGAGGGTGAGAGGATTCACCAGAGACACAGTGGGGAACAGAACAGGCAGATTGACTGAAATACACTACTGAGGGGAGCAGCGGGTGAGATAGGAGAGGTCTGCTGCACCAGGTGGGTATCTCCCTGGCTGGCTGGGATCAAACCCACACTGCAGAGGCTTCGGACAACTTCACAGCACTGCGCTTAACCGCCTGCGCCACCATGGGAGGCCCTATAATGTAAATTTGTTAATGAGAGTAATTGAATTTGGGTATACATGATACTTGAAATTTATACCCATACTGAAATACTAATTCACCTAACCATTTACTCACTTTTTTCTAGAAAAAAAACATGGCATGATCCACATGTCAGAAAAGGAGTGAACAGGCAGACTGTCCTTGCCATTAAGGTTGCTGGTTCCATGCTTATCTGGGCACTTCTGGGTCCATGCTTATGGGTCTTAGTCTTGTTCTAGCAGAGAACAGGCCTTTGATGATATGGGGAACTCGTTCCTTGACTACTTCCTCTGTCTATTCTTTGATGGGAGGCTGATTGAAATTCTAAGAAGAGCAAACTTATCTTAAATGTAATGTCTCATTTTTGAGCCTAGCTCAGGGCAGTGTGATGGCTGAGGGGGAAGGAAGCTGGCTGCTTAAGTTACTGCTGTGTGGTTGTATGTAGGTTAAAGATCAGGATGGTGGTCCGAGGGTAAAGAGGGCTGACTTCTTTCTCTTCAGCTATCCTAGAAAGAGTGCTACAATGGCTGTTAGACAGGTCCTGGAATCTGTGCTCTATAGTAAATAAAAACTCTTGGTATCACTGGGAAAGGTGCTCAGTGTCCAGGTTCCCTGGCAACATGCTAAAAACACAACAGGGAATAAGACAGACCTGGTCTCTCTCTGTGTGAAACTTAGATTCCAATAAAGAGACAACTAATTGGACACATTGCATTGTGATAAATGCTGCAAAGAAGTAGAAGATGCTGGGCCTCCCTGGTGGTACAAGGAGTCAAGTCTCAGCACTATGAAGAAATCTGCAGCCACTGCAGCATGAGTTCAAGCCCCAGTCAGGTTGCTAACCCACGGGGCATAGCAGACCTCTGCTGTCTTGCCCTCTGCTCCCCTCAGCAGTGTATTTCAGTCAGTCCATCTGTTCTGCTCCCCACTCTGTCTCTGGTGAGTCCTCTCATCTGCCGCATCTCTGAACTACACCCCATCTCTTGTATGCATAAATGCATTTTAAAAAAAAAAGAAGTAGGGGATGCTATGAGAGCGTCTGGAGAATTGGGGAAGGCTTCTTTGAGACAGTGATTTTCATGGAACAGAGTTCTCAGTGTGTCCAGCGCTAAGAGTTGGGTAGAGGGAACAGCAGGTGAGGAGGGAGGGATGCAGTGTAGTCAACAGAGCTGCTGACGGTCCCACAGCCCTCTGCTGTAAGGAAATCTATTATGCTGAGCCAAATCAGTGAGACCATTTATGCCAGTGTTCTTAAGTTAAGTAGTGTGATGATTCCCTAACGCTAAGTACATACTTAACAAATGGTAGATTCATTTAACCATAATTTAAAAAGACTTTCCAGCTAAAAATAATCATTGGAAAGTGTTTTTGGAAGATTTAAAAGAGATATTTCTGTTTCTGTAAGATTCACTTTTTTAGAAAAAAGATTTATTTATTTATGCATACAAGAGCTAGGGTGCAGGCCAGAGATGTGGGGGGTGAGAGGATTCACCAGAGACAGAGCGGGAAACAGAACAGGCAGACTGATGAAATACACTGCTAAGGGGATCAGTGAGAGAGACAGGAGAGATCTGCTGCGCCATGTGGGTCAGCTCCCTGGCTGGGGATCAAACTCATGGATAGTTTCATATTGCTGATGCTTAACCCCTTGCACCACCAGGGAGGCCTCAAGATTCACTTTTGTAGGAACCTCACTTCATGGTTGGAGGGAGCAGGGTGTGGAATCTGAGTCTTTGTTGCTCACTTTTGTTTATTTGGTTCTTTTGTCTGAAGAAAACTATCATCCTTCGTAGGTGAATGCCCTAATAGTTGTTTTGTGCTACTTGAAATCCATAGGATAAAATAATAACCTTTGAAGTGATTTTCTTCAATGAGGTAGATAGTCAGAATTATGTAGGATATTGTCCCTTTTATTATTTTCATAGATCATGAAATGAGAAAGTTTATATAATACATTTTTATTCAACTTTCATGAGAAGCCAGCTTTTTTTTTTTCTGTCTTTTAAGATTGGCCAGTCTGAAGTTTACCTCATCAGTCCTGACACCAAAAAAGTAGCATTGGAGAAAAATTTTAAGGAGATATCCTTTTGCTCTCAGGTAAATAAAGAATGGGTTATTGGCTCAATTGCACTTGAACTTTTTAATTAATTCTTCTAATGTTGTCATTTAACAGATGGGCTGAGGTCACAAGTTGTATGTGTTCTAATAACTTGATTTGCAATCTTGTAGTCCTTTTGTCTTTGCTTTGGTACATTAAAGCAAAATATAAATTTAATTTTGAAATTAATAACTTTGCTCTTAGCAACAATAACCTTCTACAGAAAATAGATTTTTTTCTTATTCTTTATTATGGGTAGTAATGTTCCACAGTTGTGATTTCCAGGAGTGTATATTTGTGTGTGTGTGTGTATGTATGCTTTATATTTACATTTGCAAATGCAAATTAAAAAATTTAAATAGATAACTTTACAAAATGTATAAATTTGAAGATCCTTTATCAGACTATAGTGTCTTTTGAGTTCTTTCTTGATAATCTCCTGGGTGTGTTTCTGGGAGATTTTTGGAGACTCTTGTCAAGTATAATGAACTATCTCAATTTTACTCATCATCTTCCTAACAAATTTGAGGTCACTTAAATTCTGATTTCTGATTTCATCATTTCTATTTTCTCATCATGAAGAAGATAAAATGAATATCTCATTGTTTGTGTATTTGTAACAGGAGTTACATAAGGATTCACAAGGGAATTTTTTCAAAATTTGAAAACACTCTTCTTAATAGCTTAAGTTGGAACCATTTTACAAAGGAAATGTTTTTCCAAATTAGATTCCCCTGAGAAGTAACCTCTCCCAGATTTAGACATTTGTTGTTGAAGAACAATGATTAAAATGTTAGGATTTGTCATTGAGTGCCCATTTATTGGAAAATATTTGGAAAGTGAGATTATCCAACAGAGAGATTATCTTGACTTGTTGCTATTCCTATGGAAATATAACTGTTAAATATTTGCTTTTCATGTGACAGTTTTATATCCTAAAGGGTGCAGGTTATAAGTTTATGTGATCACCTGAACTGTCACTGCTTATCTCTCTGCATGCTGGTGTTTTCAGGAGGCATTGACAAATTAATATCTGAAGTTGACATCTTTGTCTATATGAAGATTCGTCCTAGCTGTATTTTCAAAATGAGTTTAGATGTTAATCAGGAGAGCTCTTAGGAAACTGTGGTAGAGACTTGGCCTTAGTATCTTTGTTTAAAAGTTTCTCTATGTCTAAATTTTGACTCATTCTTCATACCAGTTTGAGTGCTTTTTTAAGGAGTACATATCCTTTAGAGGTAACCTCTGTGTGTGTGCGTGTACATGCATGTGTATTGTATGTGTTTACTTGTGTTTCTTCATTAATCTCTGATCTGGTCTGCTTTTTGATTTTTCAAATAGTTTTTTATTAACACCAAAGAAAAATTCTCATTTTTCTGTCTTAGCTTTTCTCTACTTCCTTTTTGTACTAATATGAGCTTTGAAAACTCCAGTTACCACATACATTTGAAGAGGGCTGAACCTATACCTCTGTATCATCGATGGTGTTGTTTACCAGCATTACCTCAATAGAAACAAAGCACAATTAAAAAGAAACCCCCCATCTGGGTTGCTGCTTCGGACCTGTTCTAGATGTCTTCTTAAATCTCTGTATCCTGAATTGCCATTCTGTGCTGTTCTCCCAGTAAACACATTTTAGAGTGCCTGTTTAAAAAGAAAAAAAAACCCACAAACCTCCAGTTACTAGATTTACTTTTCTCATTGTGGCTTTACATTTTAGTAGCTTTAGTACATTTTATTAACATTTAGTAGAAGGATGTTAATCTTCATACTTGAGAGATGTATTTAGATGCCTTAATATCCAAGAAAGTAATTCATTGAGATCTTTAATATTGTGCTGTGTAAACCATTGGCTGCCAGTGGTTCCTTTTTTGCATACAACTCAACTTTTCTCCCCTCCCGCCTTCAACAGGGTATTAGACACGTGGACCATTTTGGGTTTATCTGCCGAGAGTCCTCGGGAGGTGGAGGCTTTCATTTCGTCTGTTACGTGTTTCAGTGTGCAAATGAAGCTCTGGTAAGAGAGAGTGAGCAGTTCTTACCTTGAAATTCCATGTAAATTAGGTTCCAATCTAATTTTGCTTTCCTTAGCAAACCAGCTAATCTCACTGATAGCATTATGTGGCCCTTTAATTATTCATTCATGACTATTTACTAACTAGCTGGTCCACACCGAGTCTTACTTGGGTGTGCGTTTTCCATCTCTGTTATTTTTGAAGAAAATAACACTTTCCCCTGTGCTCTGGCATCTTTAATATATCATTCTGGACTTTGATCAGAGGGGTTTTTCATTTTTCACCTGCTCTTTTAAGAGCTTTGAGGCCCTGGGTCATGTTTCTTGCACTCCCAGCAGTTCTTAGTTACTATCCATTGACCTGTGACTAATAGAGGAGAAAAATACACGGTCTTTCCGGAGGGTCCGGGAATCTCAGCACAGCTCATTTTCCATGGATATTTTGCTGACTATAATCTCTCTCTTCTTGATCAGGTTGATGAAATTATGATGACCCTGAAACAGGCTTTCACGGTGGCTGCGGTGCAGCAGACAGCTAAAGCACCGGCCCAGCTGTGTGAGGGCTGCCCTCTGCAAAGCCTGCACAAGCTGTGTGAACGCATAGAGGGTGAGTCAGGGCCCTGCCTGGTGTTAACAGTGGGATGGAGCTAAAGGCCCCAAGAGAACTTTAGATGGTCTGCATTTGTTGTAAGACTTGACCTAATAGGCATTTGTGTTGGTTATAAAGGGTTGAACTTCTAACATGCAGCTGATGTCTTCGGTATGTTAGGCATTGTGCTAGGTGCTTAGACATGAATATAAAATCCATACCCGATTTCCCCATTTCCTCGGAACTCTGAGGATAGTAGAGGAATTGGGGAAACAAAGGCTGCCAGACCCAGGTATATTACTTACCAAGGTTGTGTGAATGGTCACTTGTTTGTAGAGAGAGCTACTAAGAGCTACAGAATTTCCACTAGTTTTCTCAACTGAAGGTCATCAGTAACCTCTGCTGGAACAGCTTTCATGGACTGGAGGGTGCAAAATACAGGCTATACAGTGAGGCATCTAGGAGCAGGAATAAAAGCAGTAGTTACTGTGACCTGGAGGGTATTATGTTTATTGAAGTAAACCAGAAGGAGAAAGACAAACACCTGTGACCTCACTCATGTGGTATGTAGAGAAAACAAACAGATGAACTTAAGTAAAAACAAAAATAAACGTTTAGATTATAAGATCAATTAGTGGTTACCAGAAAGAAAAGGGGAGGAGCAAAAGACAGTTTTGGTCAAGAATAGAAATGGCCTTTCAGTGGTGAATGGAATGGAGTTATAGATACATGTTGATTTTTAATGATACATTTCTGAAACTTAATGTGTAATACAATGTTACTTCAATTAAAAAAAAAAGTGGGTACTTGTGAGTATGGACTACAATTTCCAGAAACTTGGTTTAGGGAGAGTCTGTAAAACTGATTATTTATTTAGTACTTACGATGTACTAGGTACTGTGCTAAATGCCTTCTTTCACATGTATTATTATCTATTTAGTCCTTACCACATTTGTGGGAGGTCAAGGAACTGTTTTTTCATACTTATATGGATAATCATTTGCAGAGTAGGGAAGTCCAGGAGTAAACTGGCATAAAACGAGTCCCAGAGTCAGCCCAGGAGGGGAGCCTGGAGCCTGCCACCCAGTGTTCCCCAGGAAGGAGCCTTGTTGCCTGGAGACCCAGCTAGCTTTGCTTTGTCACAGTTGCAGAGGCTGTGAGATTCAGAAACTGAGCGCCCATACACATCAGAAAGGCATTCCTACCCTCCTGAGCCACAGGGTGGGAAATCCACCTCTGGGAAGACAGAGGCTCTGTCCTGAGGTGAACCTCAGAGAGGAGAGAATCATAGGAATGTGGAAGCTGTGGCCATGTTGCCCATCCAATGTCCACATTTTTTGTGTGGGTGTGATTTTGAGGGGTTTCACAGGACTCAAACAACCCATGTTACTGTAAATAGGAAACCAAGATTTGATCATTTCCCATGTCTTTGGAATCTTTGTTATAAGCTCTACTAGTATATAAAAAAGTGATAATGGGCCTCCCCTGGTGGCGCAGCGGTTGAGCGCTGGGATGTGAGGCTGCCTGTCAGCCTCTGCAGCGCTGGTTCGTTCCCCGGCCACCAGCGAGGGTCCCACAAAAAAAAAAGTGATACTATGTAGATGTTTTCCCTTTTTTAAATAACTGTAGTAAAAGTACACATAACATCAAATTTTGCCATTTTAACTGGTTAAAAATGAGCAGTTCAGTGACATTGAGTAAATTTGCATTGCTATGCAGTTACCCCACCATCTGTCACTAGCACTGCTTAATCTTTCCAAAATGAAACTTATTCAAACACTAGCTTCCCAACTTCCCCTCAGTGCAGCCCCCAGGGATTCTGCTTTCTGACTCTGAATGTGACAGCTCTGGGGACCACATAGAAGGAGAATCATGCGGTATTTGTCCTTTTTGTGTCTAGTTTATTTTTCAGCATGTCTCCTAGTAAGTTCATTCATATTTTAGCATTTAACAGAATTTCACTCCTTTTGAAGGGTGAGTAATATTCCAGTGTATGTATATTTAGGTTATTTCCTGCTAATGATGCTACATTGACTATTCATGTACAAATACCTGTTCAGGTTTCTGTTTTCAGTTCTTTTGCGGCTATGCCCAGAAATAGACTGCTGGGTTATGTGATAACTGTGTTTAATTTCTGAGGAACTATCATAGTATTCTCCACATAGAAGACTTACCATTTTGCACTCCTACGCCAACAAAGTACAAGGAATTCTCTTTTCTCCAGTCTCACCAACTTTCTATTTTCTTGGTAACTATCCTAATGGGTATAAAGTAATATCTAATCTCCCTTTTAAAATGATGTAAATTGATGTTTATTGCCTTAAGGTCTTTAAAGATTCATTTGAAGGCATTTAAGTGCTTTTGAAAAGGAATCAAAAGGATACCTTCAACTTTGTTTTCCTAGTTGTTCTATTTACTGACGTTATACAAAGTATATCTGGGAACAAGAAAAGTTGTGCTTTAATTCATGATCCCATCTGAGAGGCTCACTAACTCTTTACTTGCTAGTTGTCAAGATAAGGTAAACGATGACGGAAATGTCCCCGAAGAGCTTATTAAGATGCCAGGAATGACTTTGGCCTCGAAGGAAAGCTGATGGGGTTCTGCAGGAGCTGGCAGGATTCCAGAGTTCCAGCTGATAAATCTTTGGTCTAGCTTAGCTTTCCAAAAGTTAGAACTGAAAAGTTTAAATCAGGGTAGGGATTTTGCTGCTGTAGTTTGGAATTACCATTAAATTATTTTTTTTGCCTGATAAAATATAAGCAGAGCAGAAAGCCATGCTCATAGGAAAAGATCCACTGACTAGAGGCTGCTGAAGGGCAGTGTGCTTTCCCTCCAGGTCAGGAAGCCTTTCTGAAGTAGAGATTGCACATCCCTAGAGGCATCATTTGTAGGGGAACTGCTTATTATTTTATGAATACTTAGAGGCCTTTGCTTTTTGCTTTACTACATTCCTAATAAATAGAATAAAGTGTTTATTAAAATTCAGTGTATGGTCCCAGAATAGTAGCTCTTTTTTTTTTAAGATTTATTTATTTTGGGCCTTCCTGGTGGCGCAGGTGGTTGAGCGCAGCGCTGTGAAGCTGTCTGCAGCCTCTGCAGTGCCGGTTCGATCCCTGCTGGCTGTGGAGCAACCTACATGGCGCAGCAAACCTCTCCTGTCTCGCCCGCTGCTCCCCTCAGCAGTGTATTTCAGTCAGTCTGTCTGTACTGTTCCCTGCTCTGTCTCTGGTGAATCCTCTCACCCTCCCGCACATCTGGCCTGTACCCCGGTTCTTGTATAAATAAATAAATCTTAAAAAAAAAAAAAAGAGACAGAGTAGAGAGCAGAACAGGCAGATGAATTGAAATACACTGCTGAGGGGAGCAGCGGGCGAGGCAGGAAAGGTCTGCTGCACCATGTGGGTCTCCCTGGCCAGCTGGGAATCGAACTCTTGCTGCAGAGGCTGTGGGTTGCTTCTTTGTGCTGTGCTTAACCCCTTGCACCACCAGGGAGGCCCAGAATAGTAATTCTATTTGGAAATTACAGTCTGGCCAAGAACCCCATAAATTTGGAGAGGACTGGTGGCATGGCCACGCAAAGAAAGACCAAAAGACTGTGTTTTCTTAATGAATGTTGTCCCCCTGTGCCCTGGAACCTCCACCATGGAGTCAGCACCACACGTATCCACTGCCTGGACATTTTCCTCCACTCAGGGGCACTTTTGACACTAAGAGGTATAGCTGTAGTCAAGTGTATGTGTGCCCTGTATCAATTTACTAGTAGTTTTACATTGTATTTTGCTTATTTTAGAGTTCAGAGGAACATTTTGGAAATTACTAGAATGAGCTATACTTCTACTAAAAAGAAAATAGCTGAAGTTTCCTTTTGCTCTCTAAGTAAATTCTCCTCTGGCAAAGCAAAGCCATTCATCAGGGGTCCCTCTAATAAGAGCCCTTTCAGCTCAGACAGTGTGAGGGCAGCTCCCTGACAACCAGGCTGGGAGGGTTGTAGTTGGAGAAGGCCCTTGACTCTGGGTTACCTTTTTCTGCCTTGTTCCTTGCCTCCCTCTCTCCATATAAATAAAGCCTTTGGGCACCATGTGGGGAGTGCAGCCTTCTTTTCCCTTTTTGAAAGATTTTATTTTTGTTTATTTGTACATACAAGAGCTTGGGTGTAGGCCAGAGGTGAGGGGTGGGGCAGTGAGAGGATTCACCAGAGACAGAATGGGGAGCAGAACAGGCAGATCTACTGAAACACACTGCTGAGGGGAGCAGCAGGTGAGACAGGAGAGGTCTGCTGCGCCATGTGGATTGCTCTCTGCCCAGCCAGGAATCGAACTTGTACTTCTTGACAGCACTGTGTTTCTAATCCCTATGCCACCGGGGAGGCTATATGGCTATTTTTATGGTGCTCTCTTAGAGTTTTATTGACCAAAAAAAAAAAAAAAAAGCGAGAAACAGCTGAAACAGCTCGAGTGGAGGCTGTTAGGTGTATGGGGGCTCTGCCTTTAGCTGTGGTGGGAGGAGATGTGCACAGGCTTTAGGGCTTGGCTCCTGATTGACTTCCAGACCTTGGACAGGAGACATGGTTCCTCTGGATCTCAGCAAACTCAACTGCAAAACAGGCCTGATTTCCAAGCCCTTTTCCAGATTTGAGGTGTTCCCTCTTGGCCGTCTTTAGCTGCGTAGGTGCATCACTCTGCTCTCCTGGACAATAAGGCTGAGACCAAGCGTCTGCCCAGTGATTCACCCTTCCAGAACGAGAAGGGAGTGGCAGATGGATGAGGGCACAGCTGCCCTTGGGATAAAGTAACTGGCAGCAGCCTTTCCTGGGACAGTTAGCTCAGCAAATCCTCTCAGGCCCAATTTTCTCATCACATGTGACTCTGGACCCTAAGAAAACAGGCAAAACAGGGTCTGAGCTATACAATGTGTGAAGAAAGAACTTTCTAAAAAGAATGTGATTGTAACTGGCTCTAAAATTGTGGCTTTAGTTTCATAACTTCACAGTCCTCTGTAATGGTAATTAGGTGACATTAGGATGATTAATATACAAGTAGTGGCAAAGGTGAAGCTATGAAGCACATGAGTCAATTTTAAAGAACTTGTGTGTGGGAAGATGCCGGTAACTTTCCAGATGGAGTGGTAGTTGTTGCTCAAAATAATTTATAATACTCGGGGTAATTTATCATTTCATAGGGACAATAATCTGATGGTGTGAGGTATTTTAACATGGACTAGGTGTGAAAAGAGCAATTTGGAATCACAAAGACCTGGGCTAGGGTCCAGTGTTCTGGTTTTTGGAAATGCACAAGCTCTCTTGGTCTCTATTACCTGGACTGTAAAACTGGGCCAAGGAACTGTCTTCATCTGACAGTACTGAGAATGAGATGATGCTGGCCTAGGGTTGGAGACAGTGCCTTGCACAGGGCACAGCAAAAAATGTTGGTTGTCCTTCTTGTTGTGATCAATGCTATTTATTGCTTTGAATTCCATAAAACCACAAAAACCTGCATGTGGAAGGTATTAACTCTGCTTTCTAACTTTTACAGATAGTGTTTTCACACCTCTCTCTCTCTGTTTTTCTTAATAGGAATGAATTCTTCCAAAACTAAACTAGAACTACAGAAGCACCTGACCACATTAAGTAATCAGGAGCAAGCAACTATTTTTGAGGAGGTTCAGGTATGGTACTAGTCTTTAATTTCTAGAAGGAAAGAAAAGGCAGGCAGCTTATGCGAGAAATGCTATTTATAAAAAGCAGTAGGCCAGAGCTGTCACGGCTCTCGCCACTGGACCTGAGTTCCTCCTGGTTTAAGCTTTAACAGCCCTAGAGGGACCAGGTCAGAATTGTGGTCAAATCGGGTAAAAGCAGTTTAAACCAGGGGAGCACTCCCTTAAAAAAAAAAGTATTTTAGAATGAGAAGAGGAAAGTTATAAACTGGAAAGAGCTGCTGTTTGCAACACAGAAAACCTACACTTTGGTCCCTGAGTATCCAACCCTCCGTGCCACGGGAAACCACAGATGGCCCCTCTCTGCCCAGGAGTTCAGCCGGAAATCCTGTGCAAGAGTTGAAAGAGACAAGTTTTATACCTGAAACTGAAAATAATTGTGCCTTTTTTCCCCCTGATTTTTTTTTAAAGATTTATTTATCTATGCTACAAGAACTGGGGTACAGGCCAGAGGGGCAGGTTGGTGGGGAGCGCGGGTGAGAGGACTCACCAGAGACAGAGTGGGGAACAGAACAGGCAGACTGACTGAAGTACACTGCTGAGGGGAGCAGCAGGCGAGACAGGAGAGGTCTGCACCATGTGTGTAGCTCCCTGGCCTGCCGTGGATCGAACTTGAGTTAGAGGCTGTGGATAGCTTCACAGTGTGGTGCTTAACCCCTTGTGCCACCAGGGAGGCCCTCCCCAATTTTGAAAATAAACTTACATATGTTACCTACTTAGAGCTGTCTCCTGCATCAAATCTCAACATAAAATACAAAAACCAGGTTCATCAGCTTCCTGCACTCAGCTTGGAAGCTAGCTCTTCTTTGCATTTAGGTGCTGTGAATCTCGGGGAGACTGGGGTGTGCGAGCTGGCATGCCTGTGGTCTGTTCATCCTGAGTCTTTAATGTCTGCTTTAGCCAAGTGGCACTTTCTGTGGTTTCCTGGCACTTTTTAGGGAGGAGAACACAGCAGAAAAAAAAAATAAATCTCTCTTTATTGGGGGAAGGAGAGAGGCAAGGGTTCTGCATATAGAGTGTGCAGAGGAAGCTCAGCCCCGAAACTGGCAGCTCTGTGAGTTCTCTGGCCGTCCTTGTTGGGAAGGATGTACGGGCAGGGCCCTTCTCCCGTTTTCTATCAGTATGAAAAATGAAACTGTCTTTTTTAAGAAAGCACATGTTAGAGTACTCTGAATCCCCTTTTCTTCTTGCACGGTAGGATTGGCACATATTTTAGCAAGGAAGCATGGCACAATTGTATAAATTTTATAAGTAGCCGAAAGTATAATTTGCGCAATTTCTAGTCACCTTTCCATTTTCTTCCACATCAACTTAAGACATGCTACTTTGTTTTTTCTTAAGAGATCTGTTGTACACAGTACTCTCAGGCAAATTTCAGTGTGATTTGTGTTGGAATATGTGAGGGATGGCTAATTTGCCTCTGACGTCAATGCATTTGCAGCGGCAGCCAGGCCTTTTACATTGTTGTCGGCCCACATGAGCTAGTGAGTCTCTTTGGGGCACATCTGTCTAGCAGCAGAGGAAGCGTATGTTCTTCCCCTAATGTGAGTTTTCTTTTTTATTTAGACTGTACTGTGTAGCTTTTTCAAAAACGGGATGGTGGATCACGATAGGTAACATACAAGACTCTCTTGTGATGATGAGAAGCTCCTACATGATGTCATTCTTTTTTTTTTAAAAAGATTTATTTATTTATTTATACAAGCACTGGGTACAGTCAGAAGTGCAGGAGGTGAGAGAATTTACCAGAGCCAGAGGGGAGAGCAGAGCAGGAAGACTGATGAAGTGCACTGCTGAGTGGAGCAGCGGGCAGCAGGAGAGGTCTGTGCGTCATGCGGGACCCTCACCGGCGGCCAGGGATTGAACCAGCGCTGCAGAGGCTGTGGGCAGCTTCGCAACTCAGTGCTCAACCGCTGTGCCACCGGGGATGCCCCATGATGTCATTCTGAGGTTCTTTTTGGCCTTTGAAAGTTGAGGCACCCATTATGGTAGTGCCAAGAGACTAGAGAAAAGTAGTGATGAAGGTTGGCTTAAAAACAAAACCACATTCAATTGATATCCTGGGGTTGATGTGTTGTGGAAGGTTCTGTAAGTTTTTGATTGTTTTAGTGACAAAAGGAAATTATCTATTGATAGTTCACTGACTGTGACAAGCCAGCTGACACTTTATCCTCTGTCACTGTGACACTGTAATAATGATTCTTCTTGAATGGTACAAACTTCATGTGGAGCTCTTCTCCTAACGGCTTATTGATAATCTTGTTGAATTACTGCCTCAGTGACAATACTCTGTTTTTGTAAAATACTTCATAAACTAAGGCCTTGGCTTCTTTTTATGTGGCAGTGCCAGCGAATGTGTTAAAAATCATATGTTTCAAAAACGCACAAAGAAAAGTTGGCTTTGCTTGTCCCGAGGCCTCTTATGAATAATTGGTTAATTTTTTCTTGTGTACAGTCTTTCCTGGAGGGTAATTTATTTCTGAGGAGCTCTCCAAGGGCATATCTTCATAAAACAAAAGAAATCACTATTGAAATTAATGAGGCATGATTACTTAGTTAATAAAGCATACATATTCAGTGTTTTTGTAAATAAATGTTTAATGCACCCCCAAATGTAACCCAAACAGAATCGTAAGAAAGTGAAATCAAGTATTACTATGCACATGATGCTGGAGATTCTGGAGGAGATTGTAGCTACAGGTGGGCGTGTGGGCCTGTTAACCCATCTCTGTTAAGATGGCTTGTGACCCTGCACACCCACTTTGTGACTGTTTTAAATGTGTACGTTTCAGTCATCTCTAACTGGGTATATGTGAGGATGACCTGCCGGGTCTTCTCTCTCCTCCATGCTGCCCCTGCCCCACCACCAGCCAAGTATGCCAAGTTTAGATTGGGCATCTCCAGTGTAGAAGATGACTTTCAAGCCAACGGAGGTAGGACTAGTACAGAAAATACCACAAAGTCTGATTCTCTTCAACCGAATGACTGCATTTCAGGGAATGACTTCATACTGAAAGGATTAGTCGGGTTGATTTATACTCAGGAGGTGTCATAGTAGATTAAATAACATGACATTTTGCAAATTAAAGATTAATGGTATGAAGAGCCTTTTTTTACTTTGCAAAGAATATATATTGACTTAATGGATTTTTCATGGGTTTAAAATGATTTCTTATAAGATCTGATTAAAAGTTTTTTAAAAGTTAGCATGTGGTGTCTGAGTGAATATTGCCCTTCGAGTGGCTTCCGCAGAAGACTACCTGCTTTCTCTGCGTTCTGAAATTCATTCATTAGTCAGTTTTTGAAATGGATTTCCAAAACACTTTCACAACCAATATAGGCTTTCTTAGAAATGAGATTAAGAAACATGTACCAAAATTTGCTTCATTACTTAATAGCTAATTTATTGTTTTGAGTTTTTTTTTTTTCAAACTGAAGCATAACATAACTCACAGAAGGGCACAGAAGTCTATTTTATATAGAAAGGAGAGAATTTTTATAAGATGAATCCACTCATGCAGCCAACACCAACATGAAGAAATAGTTTTTCCAGGCCCTCAGAATCCCAGCAATGCCCTCAGCCACCAACCTGATTTTTGACACTGTAGGTCACTTTGGAACAAACAAGTTGAATTTTTACATTAAAATTATCCAACCTAATTCCCCATTATTTTCTTATACTTGTCACTGTGTATATAATTGGTACAGCTTAAAGACCACCTTTAGGAAATACTGCTTGCCACTACAGGGGATGGTGAAGCCTGGAGGGAGGCCCTGTGGAGTCACCCTCTTGCTAATTGTTTAGAATTCATCAAGGGTAGCCCCTAGCCATGATTCAGTTACTATAAGGAAGGCTTTGTGTCCTGATCTTGTATGACTCTAGAAAGCTGTGTCTCCCTGCTTTAGTGGCTTTCTTCTGTGATGTTAAATGAGCCTCCTTAATGTAGTTTCCGGTTCTTGGCTTCATTTTTAATGGGAAGTGGTGATAGAACATTGTGCTTGAGGTAGGCTCATTTTCTGCCCATTTAAATAGTTTCTTTCATGTCTATTTTGATAAAAGATAATGCATTAGTAGTGCTCCTCTCATCTTACTGCATTTTTAGCCTTTTAAAAAATATTTTGAATAAAGTGATCATGAACAATATCTCTAAGAAACATCCACATTTTCTTATAAAAGTAGCCCAAAGTTTAATTAAAGATACAGGAGAAGAATGATCCAGCCTAGTGCACCACTCAGAGGCATTTAGTAATTCTCATCTGATACTCTTTTCTGAATTTTTTTAAAAATACATTTCATTTTTTTTTAAAAGAACAGTTTTAGTTTTACAGAAAAGTTAGGTAGAAACCAGAGTCTCATATAACCTTTCATCCTCTCTCCTCCAGTTTTCCCTGATGCTGTCTTCCCTTGTTGTATGCATTTGTTACAATTGACAAGCCAGTATGATACATTATTACCAACTAAAATCTTAGACTCATGATCAAAAACATTTTAGTAGCCTCCAAAACATATAATCCTTAAATCTGAAACTTGGAGGAACAGGACATCCTCAGTGAAAGCAACCCCTTAGCATCTGCTACCTCTCCCCTGAGTAACTGGAACAACTTACTTTTAAAAGGATCTCTTTGGGGCCTCCCTGGTGGCGCAGCAGTTGAGCGCTGGGTAGCAAAGCTGCCTACAGCCTCTGCAGGGCCAGTTTGATCCCTGGCCGCCGGGCGAGGGTCCCACATGGCACGCAGACCCCTCCTGCCGCCCGCTGATCCCCTCAGCAGTGTACTTCGGTCCTTCTGCCTGCTCTGCTCCCCGCTCTGGCTCTGGTGAATTCTCTCACCCTCCTGCGCTTCTGACTGTACCCAGTGCTTGTATAAATAAATAAATAAATCTTAAAAAAAAAAAATAAAAGGATCTGTTTAAGAGGGGCATGACAGAAAGTCTGGATTACTGGTACCTTTGCATCTAAAACCTATGACAGGAAGGATAGAATCATTATTATTCTTTAGTTAGCTTGGGAGGAAGGTCACTAAGGGCAGCATTGACCTAGGATCTGATACTTTATTGTAGAGTCGATCCACTTGTTACACCCAGACTTTGTTTTAAAGGGCAGGTTAGAAGTAGGAAAAGAGTGGAGTCGATATAAAAATACCTATTTCCAAAATTTACATATTGAAGCTCTGTTTATCTCCACTTTTGTTTCCTTTACATTCAAAAAATTGTCTGTTACTTTAGATGCTCTTTTAAAATTCAAGGATTTGGTTGCTGGAGGAGACCTTAGTTTATTTTGTGTAAAAACAGTATTTATGTGAACAGATGGTGAAGCTAAGATTAAATGGTTTTGGTCACACTTTAGGCAGCACCTACAACCTGTGTGTCCTGATTTGCAGCCCAGTAAAAACTGAAGGCATCTGGAGTATTTTAAAGATTAAGAGGTTGCGTGCACACTGTGAGGTTGTGTGTGCGAGTGCATACCTTGCAGAGAAAATGCTCCTGATGTGCACACAACCCTGAATCCACGTGCTGTTTTCTTTTCCACTTTGCGCACCTTGAGACTTTAAAAATGTATAGACAGCTCTAGGCATTTACACAGATTTTGTTCTTTTCTTCACATCTTGCTGCTGTTTATTAAATATTTTGACTGTGCCTATATTTGATGTAAAATACTTATTTTAGCTTTAAGACCCTCAGAAGCCAAAAGCACAAATCTGCTGCTGACCCCATTATCCTTTTTTTTTTTTTCAAAGATTTATTTATCTTTATACAAGAGCTGGGGTATAGGCCAGAGGCGCGGGAAGGTGAGAGGACCCATCAGAGATAGAGCAGAACAGACAGATGACAGAAATACACTGCTGAGGGGAGCAGCAGGCGCGACAGGAGAGGTCTGCCACACCATGTGGGATTCTTGCCCACTGGCCGGGATTGAACCCGCGCTGCGGAGGCTGAGGACAGCTTCACCAGGACAGCTTCACAGCGTGGCGCTCAACCCGCTGGCAACCTGCTGCGCCACCTGGGAGGTCCTTCTTTTTAAAAAAATTTCCATTTTGAGGATCTTGGTGCCCCCTAGTGAAGTGACTGGGTAAAAGCACTAGTTAATGGGTGGAATCCAAAGGGATTACTTACTAGGTTTATTAATTAAAAATAACTTTAATGTATTCTGCTTTTTAAAAAAGAAAATGAGACCGAGGAACGAGCAACGGGAGAATGAATTGATTATTTCTTTCCTGAGATGTTTATATGAAGAGAAGCAAAAAGTTCACGTCCATATTGGGGAGATAAAGCAGGTATGACTTTTTTTCTCTTCTTATAATTTAATAGGACAATGTGTAAAAACAGTCTTGAATTTTCCGAAGCTCTGTAACATCTTTTCCTCCCTATATGTTATTATCATTTGTTAGGGACATAAGGAAAATTTGGGAATATTTAGATTGTGCCTGGGGAAGGGGACAGAAGTTGCTCTGAGCAGAGGGCTGGTGTGGAGCCTCAGGCATGTAGCTAAAGAGTAGGTGCTGCCTCTACAAACCACACGACCTGCAGGGAACCAGCCTCTGTCACCTTACTTTTCTCTCTGGCCAAATGGGAATGACATTGTAGAGCTGCCTTTAGAATTCCTCAAGTGCCTGGCAGTTCTGTGATACAAGTGCTGGGTGAAGGCAAGGTTGCAGGACTGGCACAGCAGCTGGAGAAGCCAGTCGATGCACCATTTCACGTAGAACGTCTGTAAATCTGTGTCCCATGATGGAGGGACAGAGCCCGCCTGCCATCCGCCGCTGTCCCCAAGAGTTGTTTGGTTTCTCCATCTGTGGGATGTTATGTCAGAAGCTTGGGCTTCGTGCAGGTCTCTTGTCTTTGAAAAGCTTTGAGTTCGGCATTCAGTACATGCAGTGCCTGCACCATTTTCCTACCTTTTTATAAGATCTGTGTAAGTCAATTCATAATAACCACTATAGCTTCAAAACATATGCACTTTGCACCTGCTTAAGTTAGATGTTTCTTGTAGTTCCGGTTTCTTGTAGACCAGAAAAACTGGAGAAAAATAAGTGAAAGACATTTAAAATTTTCAGAATTTTCAAAGGCGTATTGTCTTTTTTTTTTTTTAAAAAAAAAAACAACAACACTGAATGCTTCGTCTAAAGGTGCTTCAATGTTTAGTTGTGTGCCTCTACCTTGTTCTCTTCCTGTAAACTGCCTTTGTTCTTCTGGTAACCAAACCATGATGCAGTTTTACATAGAGGCATGTATAATAACTCTCTCTGCTGATTTCTACTTGCCAGTTGGCTTTGGCAATTGTCTGCCTTTCCTGAAGCTCATGTACAGCAATAGGTATTGTTTTTAAGCTAATCGGGCATTCCAAGGGTTCTTAGCAAGGACCCTAACACCAGTACATTGTGTTTTTGCTTTGCCCTCTGTGTGTTGATGTTCCTCCCTTCCCAGCTTGTATCATTAAGATAGGGTGGGAGTTCTGTGTTGTCCTGTTCACCTTTGAATGAGCCACCCAGTTTAAGTCTCAGTTAATTCGTTAATTCACTTTTGTTTTTTTGGTTTTTTTGGGGGGGACCCTCGCCGGCGGCCTGGGAATGAACCAGCGCTGCAGAGGCTGCAGGCATCCTCGCAGCCCAGTACTCAACCACTGTGCCACCAGGGGAGGCCCTCGTTAATCCACTTTTAAACCTGTCTCTTCTCTCATTTCCAAACCTTTTTCCGCCTTTGTGCCATTAAATGTTTTTTCCTTTTTCTGATTTTCTTTGTTCTGAGTAAGTCTAATTTGTTCTAACAGGAAATTGATAATTTTGAAGTAATTTATAACTGCTAGAAAGGGGAACCAAGTATATATGGTGGATGGAAAATTTGGACCTAAATGCAAACTCATTTTTGTGGAAGCAGGATAGTATCTTCATAATGTGGCCATAGATTAGCCCAGTGGGGAAACAGTTAATGTTTTTTTTTTTTTAATATGAAAATACCAGTGCCTTTAATATAGAAGAGACTGTACCTCCCAAAGCAAGCAGTACTGGCATCTGGGCATCAGTATCATGAGGGTTCCAAATGTCCCATAACCCAGAAGCTCATACCTCCCCTGATGTGGAGGGGGTCACCCAGACTGGACACCCTCGTGGGCTCTGAGAATTGGGTTTTTCAGAGTAGCAGCCACTTCATGGATCAATCAGATGAAGCTTTGAGATTCCCCAGTAAATTCCTGCTCCCATTTTCTACCACCAGCTAGTTTAACCTTGTGGATTTCATTACTTTCTTGTTCCTCCTAAAAATCCCCATGTTCTTCAAAAATGTGTTGCAGCTTGATCTAAAGAGACGTAGCATTATAACTTTGACAATAAACTCTGGCTGCAGACCTCAAAGGTGCACAAAAGCCAGCGTGTACACACCCAGGATGGCTTCTCAGTCACAGGTGACACCGCATGTGCTTCTCAGACTAAAATGACTGTGTTGAGTAGCTGTCAGGGGAGTCATTTTCACAAGAGAGAAAAAGTGAGTGCATCCTTTGATCTTATGGAAAAGGATTTGATTTGGCAAAAACCTGTAAATCAAGTTGGAGGGTGCTACCTTGCGCTAGTGGACATATTTCTGGTAATCACAGAGCTGGTGCAAAAGTTAATAATATTGAATAAATGCCACTTGCTGAGTATTTGCCATTACAGCCCTATCTTCTTGCATGAGTTACTCCATTTCTTCTACAACTTGTTTGAAGTAATAGCCATGTTAGTGATAAGGAAATGGGGGACAGAACCCAGGTAGTTTGCTAGTGAGTGGGGGAGCCAGTATGTTTGAGGTCCAGTGACATTGTCTTAATCATCATGTGTTTTGGGGGCTTAACAAAATGTAATGTTAACTAAGTACTGATTGACTAGCCTGGGTCCTTTTCCCAGTAGACAAATTTTTTTCTTTTTTTGATATTGTGGAATATTTTAGGCATGTAGGAATGTTGAAAGAATTACACAGGTGAGCACTCATATACCTATCATCCAAATTCTGTGGATTTTCAGATTTTGTTACCTTTGCTTTACCATATCTCTGTCCATCTATTATTCTACCTTATTATTTGATGTTTTTCAAAATAAATTTTTGATACTGATATTTTATGCATTGAAAATTATGTAATATTCATTGGTAAATGAGGATTTCATTTTTTAAAGATTTATTTTCATTATGCATACAAGAACTGGGGTACAGGCCAGAGGGGTGGGGGGTGAGAGGATTCACCGGACACAGAGTGGGGAGCAGAACAGACAGATCTACTGAAATACACTGCTGAGGGGAGCAGCGGATGAGGCAGGAGAGGTCTGCTGTGCCACCTGGCTGGGGATCAAACTCATGCTGCAGTGGCTGCCAATAGTTTGATAGTGCTGAGACTTTAACCACTACACTACCAGGGAGGCCCCGGATTTCATTATTTCAGAGAAGATGTTTGATCAGCAAGTAGCTGAATTTAAAAAAAAAAATCACTTTCTCTCAATAGGAATTAGGAGAAGACAAATAAGACCATTTACACACTCATGAGACTGACAGAAATGTAAAAATCTGACAATACCATGTAAAGGTGAACGCTCATGTGCTGTTACTGGGAATATGAATAGGCACCATTTAGGGGAGAGAAATTTGACACGATCTGGTATAGCTGAAGACACATAGACTGACCAGCAAGGTCATGCCTAGTCGCTTACCTTGCAATACTTCTGTATGGTGGTAAGGAGATGTTTTGTCCAAGAAAGGACGATCACTGCAACTTTGTTTGTAAAAGAAAAAGGGGAATTGATGATTAACAATAGGAACGTGCATGCATTGTCTTATAATCATACTTCTGATGTGTGATTATAGTGAACCAAAGAATATTTGTCAACGTGGATAAATACCAAACATCATTGAAAGAGAAGGCTAATGAGAGGAGGAAATGTACAGTATTACACGTTTAAAAGTTTCAGCTATAGGTAAACCAACATAGGTTTTATAGACGCATGCACATATATGTGCATAAAATATGAGTTGATGAATGCCAAATTCAGGAGAGAGATTATTACAGAAGAGCTACATCTGCAGAGGAGAGTGGTGACCAGGAAGCCTCAAAGATGGCTGAGAATCATGATACCTGACACTTACTGTCAGGTATAAGTACTTTATAACATGTTGATTCATTGAGATTTTATAGCTATTCTATGAGAAAAGTTTGCTTGGTGTTACTGGTCTGCTGGCTGGAGAGGAGCAGGTAATAACCTGTCTGAGACCGCATACTAGGTGCAGGAAAGAGGCATTTTACCTGGGCCAGGGCCTTGTGCTCCAGGGCCCATGCTTCTCCCAAGTTCTCCCCACCTGGCAGGGCGTGAACTTGGCCAGAGCTAGGTTGTGGTGCAATGGCTTTTCTCGTAGTAGTCTGCACTGTTCTGTGTGTTTGAAATATGTAACAGCAGTGAAGAATAGTCTGTGTTTAGAGTAATGGAGAATATGCTGGTCTCTGTGTTTTTCTAATAAAAGTCATTGGCTAGCAGGAAGCAATCCGATAAGAATTCACATAATTAAGAAGTAACTTAATTTAGAGGATTTACATAGCTCTTTTGTTTTAAATATACCCCTTTGCTAGTAAGTAACATTATCTTCATTTCCTGGAGGGCAAGCAAACTCCATTATGTTTTTCAGTTTCATACTGTGGTCAGTTAAGGGAGGGAAGTATGGGTAGAGAGGAACATGGAAGGGTGCAGGGAACAGTAAATGGGAGAAAGGAAAAAGTCGAGAACACAGTTCTATAGAAAGAGACGAAGGGGTTAGGATAGGCAGAGAATTGATGCTTCAGTGCATAAATGTTTTATGTCTCACTCTCTGAAATCCCCCAAAGGTAAGTATTTAGTTTTTGTTGCAGTTAGTCATAGCTACCCTTATGCCAGAAGGCATGCTCAATGCTGCTCATGTTTTGCTCTCACAACCCTGTATTAGTAGATCAGATCTTGAGGTTAGTCTAAGCTTACAGAAGAGGAAATTGTGACTCAGAAAATAACTTGCACAAGGTGTCACAGTCAGTGAATGACAGATCTCTGATCCGAGTGCAGACGCTTAGCTGGAACCTCTCTTGTTCCCTGATCTGGTTTCCAAGCACATTTCCTTACTTTGTTTGGAGTAGGCAAAGTAACTTTTTGGGGAAAAATTACTCCCCAGAATTGTAGTCATGTGAGCAGAGAGCAGAAGACATGAGGTCACCACAGAATCGGAATAATGATCTGGAATCAAAAAGATACATTCTAGAGAATTTTCTTTCTTTTAAAAAGAACAGACAGTGGTCTCACTCATAGCAGGAATCTAGAAAACTTAAATAAGGGACCAGGAAAATGAATAACTATGAGAAAGTGAAAATCAAAATCAACAAAAAACTATGAACTAGAGACACTCTATGGGGGGTGGGGGGCGGGGAGGGGAGGGATTGGGGTCAAAATAAGGAGGTTGCAATTGTATGGGGAATATAAAAATAAAATTTATTTAAAAAAATAAAATAAAATGTTCAATGAAAAAAATAAAATAAAAAAAATAAAAAGAACAGACAGAAGGAAACTTGATTTTTCTTTGTTTCATTTTTTAGACACCACAGATTGCAGCAGAGAATATTGGAAGTGAATTACCATCAAGTGCCACCCGATTTAGGCTAGATATGCTGAAAAACAAAGCAAAGAGATCTTTAACTGAGTCTTTAGAAAGCATTTTGTCCCGGGTAAGTGAAATTTTGTTTAAAGATCTTTCTGAGAGAATTTTGCAGCACCCTTAGTGGTAATTAATATAGACCCTTTACAACCAAGGTTAGGGGTGACTGCCTTTGCAAGCTCCCCAAACCCACAGAGTATTGGCAGATGTCAGATCTGGCAAGTTCTGCCAATTCTGACTCAGGAGTTGCTGAGGATGCCTCCTTCAGCGTTTGCTTTTCTTCAGAGATGACTTGTCTCTTCCTCCTGCCTATGATCCCTGCCACAGAACTAATCCGCAAGGTGTTTTGAAACATTTAGGTTGGTGTGTTACTAAAAAAGAAATGACAGAATTGTTTTTTTGTCTTATATACACATGTACTCCGCAGCCTTTCTCAGTAGATGTATTTTCCCCGAGCTTATTTATTTACATAGAGGGAGCTGCTTCTAACTGATGTCTTTGCAGACCTCTCAGAGGTCATAACTCCACTGCCTTTTCTTTACATAGGGTAATAAAGCCAGAGGCCTGCAGGAACAAGCTGCCAGCATGGACCTGGACACCTCCATGTGTAGCACATCAAGTAACACTAGCAAAGTAAGCACATTTTCCTTTGTATGATACCCTGAAGAAACAATCACATGGGTTCTGTGCCTCTCCCAGGTACATTGCCTCTCAGTAACAAAGAGCCTGGTATCTCCAGTCCTGAGGAGCTCGGTGATTTCAGACTCTCTGCTGCCCTGGAGGCTGGTCATGCAGTTACACAGTACATAAAAGATGGCATAGCAGGGCCTCCCTGGTGGTGCAGTGGTTGAGCGCTGGGCTGTGAAGCTGCCCGCAGCCTCTGCAGCGCCGGTTCAATCCCCGGCCGCCAGCGAGGGTCCCACGTGGCGCGCAGACCTCTCCTGCCGCCCGCTGCTCCCCTCAGCAGTGTACTTTGTTGGTCTGCCTGTTCTGTTCCCTGCTCTGTCTCTAGTGAATTCTCTCACCCTCCTGCACTTCTGACTGTACCCAGTGCTTGTATAAATAAATAAATAATTCTTTACCCAAAAATGGCATAACAAAGCAGGTGGCCATTCCACCAGCATAAAAACCACTTTAGACCACCAGGATCTGATGTATTTCATGGAGAACAATGGCTTTCTTTTCCAAGTAGATTTGACAACATTAAAAGTAATTAAAATTAGAAAACCTCAAGCAATGGGTTGGTGAATTCCAAGAAGTCTGCAACTTAAATTCCAGGAACTTTATCCACTAACAGCCTTTATGGTTATAATTAAGCATCAGGGTTTTTACAAATAAGCATCTAAGTTCACTCCTTGGGTCCACAGCAAGCAGGGCATTGATAATGAGCAAGTCAGTGGTTCTTTTTGGTAACAAGCTGGTGTCTAGGTCCTTGTTTAATTTTGTGCTTTCTAGATATTTAAGAATATTTAGATTTGGTTACTTCTGTTGGGGGGGTGGTGAGAAGATTCACCAGAGACAGAGTAGAAAGCATAACAGGTGGATTGATTGAAATACACTGCTGAGGGGAGCAGTGGGCGAGACAGGAGAGGTCTGCTGCACCATGTGGGTCAACTCCCTGGCCGGGGATCGAACTGTTGCTGCAGTAGCTGCGGATAGCTTCACAATGCTGATGTTTAACCCCTTACGCCACCAAGGAGGCCCCCTCTATTCTGTTTCATTTAAAGAATGTTCATGATGAACCATTGAATTGATACCACTACCAATTAATGAGTTAAAGTTTCTAATTTGAGAAAGTCTGCCTTAGCTGAGTTCATCTCAAACTGCGTTTTTAATGGGGCTCTGATTAAAATGAAGGTTCTAATTCAGGAGGCTTGAAATCAGAAATGTTGAAAATGACTGGAAAGCTCCATGGTGATGTTGATGCTGCTGCCTGTGGAGCCACTTTGAGGAGTGAGACCCTGGACATCTGTCTTCTGAATGTGATTTTGAGGTTAAAATCTGTGGTGCATAGTATCATCACCACCCACAGTTCTTTTCAAGTTTGAAACGTTAAGCATTATCTGCTATATACAGGTGACTAAGACAGGGAACTTGTATTGTAGAAGAGAGACCACAGAGACACAGGTAGCGTGAGCATGCAGTAGAGTCTCATCAGAACCCCGGCGGCTCTGAATTAAAGACGGTGGTGACTTCGTGGCCACAGGAGCAAGGGAAGGGGAGAGGTGTTTTTGGTCCATGGAGCCAGAGAAAGATTGGGCAGAATCAGGCTGTGATTCTCTGAATTAAATCTTAAAGGACGTAGAAATGGTTACCTATAAAAATAGTCAGGAAGGAAGGCATTCCAGAACCATCAGGACAAATGAAGATGCAGTGAAGCTGCTTGCATCACTCAAGTGACTCTTCTGGTGTTTTTACTTCTTCCCCACAGATCTAGGAATATACACATAGCTTGAATTTCTAGAGCAATTCTAAGAGAAATGCATCTTTTTAGAAATCACCTTTGTGGATAATATATGTGAGGATCTTTATGTGCACTCTTTATATTGTTTTTGCATCCTGAGATTGAAGAACTGTTGTCAAGGTATGCTATTTTATATAGCTGGACTTCTTCCAAGATATTGATCATCTGGGAGTTGCCAAGAAACTTAGCATCTACAACATCCCTCCTGGTTTAGATTAATTGCTGGCTAGCTCTTTGACATAGTTTGAAGGGATGTTAATATGAATTAGGTTAAATGGGTTTTTGTGATAGTTTGCTGTGATGTATTTTCTTAGGCAAATTTTTAATCCTTAAAAGAATCTTTGGAATGATCACGTTCTGAAGAATGAAAGCTTTCAGTTATGCTGAGAATAATTAACATTTTTTAGTGTGATGGGAATTAAACTTTTCCTACCTCATTCCTACAAAATTAAATGTGTACAACCTATTCCTTCAATAAACATAAATTTAACTTCCATAATTAAATTTCTTAATGTCATAGATGTTAAACCATGTATCAGATGAAAAGGTAAAATTCAGATATTTAGATTCTCTAGTCCACTATTAGATGCATTCATTCCCTTTTGCACTTTTTGTGTTGATTTGTTTGCTCCTAGCAACTCCGGGTAGGGGCAAGCTGGTATACTTCCTCCTATTTTTATGTTTTTCAATTTGAGAAAAATGGGCACCAACCAATCCTGGGGACAGTACTAAGCATCAGTTTACCTGAATGGCAGCAGTACATCCCTTTCAAGAAAGGACATCTTGAAAAAAGCTACATTATTGAAATCTGGTCATGATTCACAACAAATGTTTGCGTATCCACTCAGTAAATTCACTGAGTACCTAATAAAGCAATAACTTACATTGCACAACATCTTTCAGTTGTATTATTTTGCTTAATTCTTGAAATCCCTGAGATGAATTGTTACTGTACCCTTTCGTAGACGAGGAAATTGAGGTACGAGAATAAGTTCAATGAATCGAATCACCTCAAAAAGTGCCTCAAAAAGAGAGGCTTGCCATATTCTAAGAATAATGTAGGATGTGGTTTCCAACCTTAAGATTGCCAAGTTAAATCTCAACATCGTATTAGATTCAGAAAGCCTTAAAATGTGTATGTAACATGTATAGACGGTCCCACGTGAAGGAAGCAGGTAACTTTTTGATTTCTTTAAACAGTGCTCTGGACAAGCTGTGTGAGCTGCATTGTGCTTATAAGCAGTAGAGATGAATTCTGTTTTAGAGAAAGGGAGTGATTTACAGCTTTGCTTAGAACAGTTTTATTATGGCTCATGTCCTTCAGCTTGCATTTGGGCAGTTTCTGTTTTTCCAGCAAACTAGCATTTTGTCTCTGACAAGCAAGCCTTTCTTTTCCAGAAGGTCCATGGCCTTCATTTCCTTGCATTTTCGGTGGCCTCTCTCTGGCGTTATAATCAAAAGATGGGCTTATACATTAAAATGTTTCCCTGCCCTGAGATTAGGGATTTGTGAATCCACTGATGCCTCATGACAGGTCTGATTTGTTGTCTGCTTGCTGCCAGGAGCCATGTGTGTGCGAGAAGGAAGCCCTGCCTGCCTCCGAGAGCTCCTTCAGACTCCTGGGCTCCTCGGACGACCTGTCCAGTGACTCGGAGAGCCACCCTGCTGAGGAGTCCAGCCTGCTCTCGCCTCAGCTGGGCTTCCGGAGGCGTGCCAACACCCTGAGCCACTTCCCCGTGGACGGCCAGGAGCCCCTGGCGCCAGCTGAGAGCCCTCCTGGGGTTTCCCAGAGGAAACTTATGAGGTATCACTCAGTGAGCACAGAGACGCCTCATGAACGAAAGTAAGAATTGTTTAAAATGTCAATTGGTTGTATAACTAACTGGGGACATCAGTTACTAACCAGGTGTGTGCCGCCCAGGTGTGTTTGTTGGGTGGAAAAGGAACCTGGGTTTTTATGCTTGACTTAAAAGGCAGTAACTTGAAGCAGTGACAGGTTCTTCCCCATTCGACTTCCTTGGGGAATATATTAGAGCTGCTTGTTCAACAAACAAGTACCGGTCTTGGGAGGACGCAGGTCTGACTGAGTCCCTAAAGTATATAATAATCGCTCCTCAAACAGTATATGAGAGGCAGCACTGATTTTGGAACTTAATTGCTGGCTTTGAGAAAAAGTAATCGGGTGGGGAGGTAGTGAGTCTGCTCAGCTGAAGATCTGGAACGTTCCTGCACTGGGAAGGAAAGGCTGGGGTCTGTGTGGAGCAGTGTGAGGGGTGTGCCAGATCCAGGGGGCCAGCTCTGGCTTCAGGTCCTAGTGCTGACCTGAACTGGTGGGCACCTCAGCCCATTTGCTTATGACAAAGTTTGTATGACAGACTTGAAATGGGTATTTTCTAAAATCTCGTTCAATGTGAGAATTCTAGATGCTCCTAACAAGATCACTAATTTAAATATTTGGCTTCATTGTGCTCACTGGTTACGGAGGTGAGTGAACAATGTAGGTCTCTCCTCCTGGGAGCCCCTGGCAATTGTTGGAGGCTATAAATGGACACAGCGATCTTTAAAAATGAAAATATCTAAGATCCCTCATTTTGTGAATATGAAGTAGGGTTACACCTGTGTACATTCGCTGCCTCCTTCTGACTGATGATAACAGAGGCCACAGAGCCTAAGTGTACTGACAGGTCACCCACGGATCATGGAGAGTCCAGAGGTGACATTGTTAACATCTTCCAACAACGTGTTGGAGCCCCTGAACTTTGTTTTCAGTCATTCATTGAAAATAGTTAATGATGGTTCGTTGGCATTTGGCTGGAGAATTGATCCCCAAAGGAGGGCATAGTTCAGAAGCTAACATGAACAGATAAGACATTTTAGAGACAAACCTAGTTGGAAGCTTGGAGGTTCTTGTGATATCTCTTAACACACCTACTTCTGTTCTACCTCTCCCACTACATCCCGCCCCTCTGTTTCTGGCATTTTCAGTGATCATGGAAACATTACTGTCTGGAGATTCCTAGTTCTCTTGCTAAGCCTGCTGGTTCCCACAAGCCAGAGTTGTGGGAAATTGCTGCCCTAACAATGCCTCTCCCTTCTCCCCTAAGAATGCAGCTTCCTACGGATTGCATTGGATATAGGTGATGAAAGCCGGATTGCATTGGATATAGGTGATGAAAGCCGCAGAGAAATGTCTCTCCCTGTCTCCCGCCCTGTCTCCCCAGCACACCTATTTTGTTTTCCGTCCGCCTTTGTGAACTTTTTTCTCTTTTACGTACAGGAAATGAGACATTGAAATTCAAGGCAGGTTATTGTTCATTTTGAAGAGAGAGATATTTTTAAAACTCTGGGTTTTGTTTTGTTTTCCTTTGCTTTTATTCTGCTTAAAATTTTTTTTCCTGTCAGTTCCTAAAAAGGGCATAGAGGAAAAAGTCCTGTGGGGCAGGGAGATGCGGGAAATGCAAAAGGATGGTCTTTTGTAATTTTTTTTTTTAAACCAATGACTACCTTGGCTGGAGAGAGAGCTGGGATGCAGAAGAGAGTGAAAGTAACCCCTCCCCAACCCCAGCTGTGCTGTTGGTAGTAAATACTGAGACACCAGTAGACACCAGTGTCCATGCCATTCTCTTCTGCTTCTTCCACGTTGACCCCCAGCAGCCCTCCTCGCTCCCCTCTAACCCCTCATGCTTTCTCTCTAATTGCTATTTAGTGTGAACCATCCACCAGTGAGCGAGGCTAAAAGTTGCTCAGGTCAGTCTTCAGCTCCTGCTCATCCATCTCGTCTTAACCCCTCTGCATCCTCGCCAAATTTTTTTAAGTACCTAAAACATAACTCCAGTGGAGAACAGAGTGGGAATACTGTGCCAAAGAGGTGAGCGCACTCGCATGGCAAGTTCAGTGTTGTTTGTCTTGCTGGGAAGTTCACGCAGGATGTGCTGAATGAATGGAGGGAAGGTCCATTCGAGAACCTGGAGTCACCACGTGCGTTAGTGTGTGTGTGTCTGTATTTTGTCTATTTTTGGTTCTGTTATTTTCAGGCTATCACTGGCTTGATTTTGCTACTGATAACTTTGTCAAAATTAGTATGAAAACAGGTCTTGATGGCAAGCTGTTTTTTATGTACTTTCGTATTTTCCTGCACTAGCATGTAGACACGTGCGTAGGCTAACCACTGTGTTTGATCAGAGACACTGCAACTTGTGCCATATGTAGAAGTGCCCTCATTCATTCAGGAAAACCACTTTTTCCAGTTTAAAAGAGTCACTTTGAAAGATGGACTGACTTTTTGCATTTTTTTCCCCTGGTAAAAATGCTGCGCATGAGGTCTGTCCTCTCACACATTTTTAGGTTGCACAACACAGTATTGTCAACTACAGGCACTGCGTTATATGGTTGATTGCTAGAATTAATTCATCTTGCATGGCTGAATGGACCGATGTTTATTCATTCATTCATTGATTTCTTTCATTTGAAGTAGAATTTGACTGAAATGAAATTTAAATCTCATTTGCAAACTTTTTAATTTCTTGCCTGGTTTAACTTTCTTAGTTTTAGAACAAAAAATGTTTCTTTTATTTTGATGTTTATATTTTACACTTTGTGTGTTTGTATTTCTTTATCCTAAACTCTTTTTTCAACCAAACTCTCAGCATCTCCTACCGTAATGCCCTGCGGAAAAAACTTCATTCTTCTTCCTCTGTGCCAAATTTTCTAAAATTTCTGGCTCCTGTAGATGAAAATAACACCTCTGACTTTATGAACACAAAAAGGTAGGGTTCACTTTAGATATATCAAGCCTGGGTAGAAGTGTTGAATTATTGTTGGATATACAAGGGGTTTTAGCTGTTCTTTTGCCATTTAAAAAATTGTTTTTGCTAAATCCTATTGTATGATCTTTCTTACACATTTTCCTCTCTGGGTGTGATTTTAAAAAGGAAATGTCTACCAGTTCTCTGATTTTGATTAGGGTTAGTTTATTACTATCTTGTGACCTTCAGAAGATTAAAGAAAGTCTTAGCCAGTTCTCTCAGTGATAGTGGTATTTCTGGGTCATGAGCTGACCACTCATTGGATAGCTGATCTGTAAGTTCAGGTGATTGCTTATTGCGGGTATGTATTCAGGTATAAATTGCAAGGACATCCTCAAGTTATCCCATCAGTGGGTAGAAAATGAATGGATTAGATTATATTTATTTAGAGTGATGGATAGCTTTTGTAGTTTTAAAACTGCAAATGCTGCAACAGTCATTGTCCTCCAGTGACCACATAATTATTGCCGTGATGGTTCTGGGTAATTTAACTTTTTTTCTTTTTTCTTTTAAAGATTTACTTATTTTTATACAAGAACTGGGGTATAGGTCAGAGGCACCAGAGGGTGAGAGGATTCATCAGAGACAGTGGGAAGCAGAACAGGCAGACTGAGTGAAATACACTGCTGAGGAGAGCAGAGGACCAGACAGGAGAGGTCTGCCGCACCATGTGGGTAGCTCTCTGGCTGGCCAGGAATCGAACTGGCACTGCGGAGGCTGCAGACAGCTTCATAGCGCTGTGCTCAACCCGCTGCGCCACCAGGGAGGCCCTTTTTTAAAAAATTTTTTTGGTGGCAGTCCATGACCTAGGAGGAAATACTCCCACACACAGAATAGGAAAGGTTGAGGCTCCAGTGATAGTGTCCCCTGTGGACAGTTTCTCTTCAATCAGGTGGTGCCTGGAGAGGCCCACTTGGAAACTAATGCTGTGTGAAGCATGTTTCTTAGTATGTTTTACAATAGAAGTAAATGGGGTGGGGGGGCGCATGTAACTGGATCTCTGCATGAAGGGCATCATGAGAGAAAGCAGGCCTTCAGGAGCGTGTCCTCAACGTGAGCTTGATTTGCCTTCCACAACTATCTCACCGTTTGCTTTATGCAAAGATGATGTCTATAGTTTAGTGTTTTGTCAAAAACTGATATACCCCTGTATGTCTCCCCACCAGTCACAAACCCATTCTCTTGTAATTTTAGGGATTTCAAATCCGAAGCCAGCCACCTGGCCGATGGTGGCGGGAGCCCTGTGAGGACTCGAAGGCCCTCGTGGAGGCAGCGGATATTCCTCCGAGTAGCCACGCCACAGAAGGCAAGCGATTCCCCCAGCAGACATGAAGGTAAGGCCTCAAGTACAGTGGATAGACTGGGGTGGGGGTGCGTTTTCCTTGTAACAAAAGTTTATTTGGTGGAGGAAGTGGTGAAATGGGTAGGGACTCGTGGAGATGCCAGCACCATGGCCTCAGGATGCCACACCCCGGGGAGACCTGCAGAGGAACTCCGCAGGGCAGTCCTTGTGCTGACAGCGGCGCCCTGGCAGCTCTCCACCCTCCGTGACTGCAGGTGTTTATTCTCACAGAGCTTTTCCTTTGCAAAACAGCAGTGGCAGCTCTTTCTGCCCACTTGTGTTGGTGCAAGTGTATTCTCTTCCATTTCCTAATAAACCTGTCCTTTTATAATATAAAAAATTAAGAAAATGGTGTCCCTACTAAGCTTTTGTGGCTCTTCATTCACTCTGCCCATGGGAATGTTTAGGGGTTCAGCCTGTTGCTCTCCCTTTTCACTGTCTGGACTCCCTGCCTGTGGTCTCAGTGCAGGCTATGTGGCATGGTTCTCGAAGTACCCCAAGCCTAGTGCATCGGCCACACTTGCGGTTGCCCTGCCTCCTCATTTCTCCGCCCAGAGAAATGCAGAGTGTGCTGAAGTCTCCCTCGAGGCCTTCCTGTGTCGCTATAATTTAAGAAAAGAGTTCAAGTACAGTTCTCTCTTTTTTTTTTTAACTTTTTTTTTTTTAATTTAAGATTTATTTGTTTATGCATACAAGAGCTGGGGTACAGGCCAGAGATGCGGGGCTGAGAGGATTCACCAGAGACAGAGTGGGGAACAGAACAGGCAGATTGACCAAAGACACTGCTGAGGGGAGCAGCAGGCAAATCAGGAGAGGTCTGCTGTGCCGTGTGGGTTGCCCCCTGGTGGGCCGAGGATTGAACTCATGCTGCAGAGGCTGCAAATTGCTTCTTATCCCCTTGCACCACCAGGGAGGCCCAAGTGCAGTTCTCTTGACTTAAGATTTTACTCTGACCAAGAAATGTCAATTGTGAACAACAGATGTTTTCTTTTTTTTTTTTTAAGATGTATTTATTTATGCATACAAGAACTAGGCACAGGCCAGAGGTGTGGGAGGTGAGAGGATTCACCAGAGACAGAGTTGGGAGCAGAGCAGGCATATCTATTGAAATGCACTGCTGAGGGGAGCAGCAGGTGAGACAGGAGAGGTCTGCTGTGCCATGTGGGTAGCTCTCTGGCTGGGGATTGAACTCATGCTGCAGTGGCTGAGGATAGCTTCATAGGTTGCATCTTAATCCCTTGAGCCACCAGGAAGGCCCAGATGTTGTTTTCTTAATATTCCTTAATCAGAAGACATTTTCCCCTTAAAAAAAAAAAAAAGAAAACAGTAGAACACCAGAGAGTACTCGAGCTCCTCAGGCCGCATGTGGTGTGTGTTCACAGTTCACATTGGCACGCTCTGCGAGTCTCTCAGGAAGCCGACGGTGTAATCTGAGTTTTCAGTGAAGGTTCAGGAACCTGCTTTGGGGGGAGGAAGCCTTGGAGGGCCCCTCACCTCCACCCCTCTCCATTAGCTCTCCTCTGGTCCTCCACTCCCGCCTGTCCCTTCCGTTTCCCTCCGTCTGTCCTCCCACTTTCTTAATTCCTCCTGCTTTTCTTCGTACCCCTTTCTCCTCTAGAATTCTCCTTAATATTTAATTTGAAAAACGAATCTTCTGCCCAACTAGACAAGTGTCTGCCTTGGGCTCAGCTAGTTTTGTGACGTAAATCATTCACCTTCGTTTACTCTTAGCAACTTTTGTTGTTCCTTCAGTCTAACAAGGGTTAGAGTCATGTTGGCTCCAACTCCCCTGTGGAATTACATTAAATTATAAAAGAGAAAGTACTTTGCAAACCTAAAGACATATCAGATGAAAAGTGTAACATTGTTTTTGGTGTTGATTTTGGCCCTTAGTGTTAAGCTCCCTTTGCACCCTGGCTCCCCAGCAGGCGCCACAGAAGGGAACATTAGAAAGGCTGGGTCTGTAAATTTGGTGAGATTTTTAAAGAATTTCAGTAAATTGTGTTGTTTTAACTTGTATCCATTTAGAAAGTTTTGTTTTAAAGGTTTTATTTTCATGTTTGTCCTAAAGCCAGATAGTGACCCATCTTGATCTTTTAAACGTTTGAAGCTGATGGGTCTGCTGGGGTGGTGACTGTGGAAATGCTTATAAAACACACCACTTGGGGTGTGTCCTGCGCCAGCTCGGAGCTCTGGCCTCTGTGGACACTCTGGGCATCTCTGCAGACCCTGGCCACCACTGACCTTCCTAACGGGCGCTGCCATCTCCTGTTGGGTGTCTGAGGAACCCGAGTCAGAGGTTAGTCAGTGCCGGAGAACCCCAAGATAAAACAGGTGAGCAGAATGCATGAGGGCAGCACGAGAGAGCGTGGTGTTGTGCGGAGCCCGAGGTGGAAGTGTTAGGAAGGGGAGGTTGCAACGCCGAGCACTCTGATCCCCATCCTCTGAACCCCTGGCAGTCTCTAGGCACTGAGAACAGAGCACTTGGTATCCGTCCACCTCCCCCACGGGAAAGGTTACTGAAAAGTGTACCCAAGAGGATCTGCCAAAAATCCACCTGGTACGGCCGCACATGTTGGCAAGGAAAGCAGAGAACTGACCTTTTGGTGCTTAGGGAAGGACTGCTGAGTTCTTCTAGGGTAACCTTCTCTGAAAGCAGGAGCAGAGGGACTGTATTCAAACCCCAGCTTCTCCCTCTGAGCATCACACTGCAACAGCTGTCTGAATTTCCCACCCAAGATTGAGGGTTAACTATGCCTGTTGCCACACTGATTGAGGTAAGAGAACATTCTGTTTCTATCAGTGTTTTTTTTTTTTTAATGTTCAGAATGCAAAAGATGGGGAAGGGTATCAGTGAAGCCAGTGTTTTCACTGTGAAGTCCCCTCTGCCCCTCCACCTGGCGGCGCTGTGGGGCCACTGTGACACCAGCTCTTTCCTGTGAGGGGATGAGGGGAGCCCCTCTGTGATCTGCGCTGAGTGGCCAGGGCTTTGATTTCTCTCCCTGCCAGCAGGAGCGAGCGGGATGGCCGTGCCTCACTCCTGCCCTGCCACCGTGGAGAGGCCTGCGTGCTGCTGGGGTCCCTTCCTCTCAGGTCCTGGAGGGCCCTGTTAGGGGTGGGGAGGATGTAAGGTGGAGAAGGGACCAGGGATGCCCAGGAGGGGACTGAGCTATGATCTTTGGCTGAAACACCAGCAGAAGTGGAGTTTCAGGTTTAAAGGCAGTGCCGGCCTTGTGGTGACCATACCACGTCGGGGGCTGTTGAGGGGATTGACATGGGGTCAGTTTAAACTTTTCAGTGTATCATGTCTTTACAACACTTGGTGGCGTGGCTGGCCAGGACTAAGGGCCATGGAGGACTGTGTGGAACAGCCTGCCCCGCTGCAGAACAGCTCCAGATTCCCAGGGACTGTCTCAGCTGCAGCAAGTCCTGCCTCCTGGTTGTCCTGTCCTTCGGTTTCCTCTGGTCTCTGAAGCCACACAGACTACACTGGTGTCTGCTCCCTGCCAGTCTGAGGGCGGTTTTCATTCTGAGCCTTGGGGGGTGGAGGGTGTCTGCTGCTCAGAGGGTGGCTCAGAGATGAGACTGTGGATAAGGTACGCAGTGGCACCCACACAGGAGGGAGACTTTCGTACTTGGGAAGACTTGCGAGGCATTTTCAGTAAGAAACATAGGTGAGTCTTAAAGCAGAACACTTTAGCCTGAACAGTGGCTTAAACAGAAAGCAAAAGGCTCCTGGTGGTGGCTTTAAGTTCATGGAGGCCACGTCTGGCTGCTGCCCCAGAAGCCTCGGGGCAAAGCGTTTTGTCTTCCTTGTGTTCATGGCTTCTTTAGGTGGAGGGTCTGTGAGATGCTGCCTGTGAGAAGCACCATACTTGGTAACCTATAACCTTGGTGGAGTTGGTGCTACGGGTGCTACAGAAGCCGCCCCAGGCTGCTGAGGACTGGGCATGTCTAAGACATGGTCTGCAGGGCACGGCTGTGAGCAGACATGACTCTCCCTCCCCATCAAGGAGACTCCGTAGACCGTCCTCTGCGGGGAGGGACAGCTGTGCTGATGTCTGTGTCCAGCCCTGGCTCATTTTCAGGGCATTCCTGCTGACCATCCATGGGCTGACTGCAGAGAAAGGCACTGGGCTTCCTCAGATGCCCACATCAACACATGTGGATTAAGTGGCCTCCTCTAGACCACGGTCTAGAACAGAATTTGCATCCTAAGTTCTCTGTAGACCTTGATCAAGAAAAAGTTACAATCTAGAAAAGTCCAAGTGGGTCCAGAGGGCCTCCCATTTCCAGGGAGCTCCCCAGTCAGCATCAGCCAATGATGCTGGTCCACTTTGAGCAGCAGGAGCCTAGAACCAACACCAGTGGGAAATCCATTCCAGACCCACCCTCCCACCTTCTGCTCCTCTCTGCCGCCCTGCATGTCTTGGGGTGACCCGTGGAGACACCCACGTGTCTCAAACCTCACAGAAAGTAGGGTCACCAGTGACTTGTTTCATTTCTGTGTAGCCTGGAGAAGCAGAGTTAGTTTGGTGAGGAAAATGCAGTGATAAAAACACGTGGTCATAGGGGTAGAGAAAAATCTGATAATGGGCCAATTGAAGCCAAACATATGGTACTCTGCCTCTCTCCTGCTGCTTGATTTTCCAGGGAAGCTTTGTCTCTGGGTGGCACCCAGGGGACAGAGTGTGTAGGTGCTTGTTTTCTTGAGCTAATTGTGAGGCCTGAAAAAAAAGGATGAAAATCAGCTTCTGCCTACATATTTGGTAGTAGAAATACTCCAGTGTTTCCTTCTAGGATAGCATACAAAAGATGATACTTTGTTGTTAAATAATTTTTCAGGCAACCACAGACTTTGGAATGGGGAAAGATCCTTTTTTTTTTTTTTTTTTTAACCTCCATGTGGCAGGAAACAGTTTCAGTCTTGGCCGAATACCTTTCGTTTCAGCATTTCAGGTCACGTTGCATTCGTAGACTTCTCCAACAATA